CTCTCGCCCTCAGCGTACCCATCGACTTCCTTCTCGATATCGTGACTGACCTTACCCCCCATATGCCCTCTATCTCTTACCATTCCTGGACACTTACGCAGCAGCTCCCGGTTTCGGCTTCTACATTCGGCTTCTACATTCGACTTCTACATTCGACTTTCGACCTCGGTGCTTCTGTTCAGTACCAGAGTACATGTCGCGTTGTTCCGGACGTCCACTTGGTTTTCTACATTACTCCTACTTCATCCTGGGTACTTCGATTCGACTTCAGTCTGGAGACTCATCAGTTGGACTACTTCACTTCTTCGGCTACAGAGTTCTCATCATCCCCCTGTATCCTTACCCTCCAGTCGCATGATGACCCCTATTTCCCCTGTCTATGTGGGTGTGTCCGCTTGCCGCCCTTCTGCCTTACCTTATGCTGTGCGCCCTCCTCTGGAGTGTACGTTTTCTTTGCTCGCGGCTCTTGGGCCACATGTCTATGCCGGCATAGCCCTCTCTCCTGCCAGGCTCACCTTATGCGTGCTCCCTTGTGTGAGTGTCATTCCCCTTCCAGCTGGCGGTGCCCGTTTGAAGGTTTCCATTGAGCCCGGTGTCGTGCTGTTACCCCCCCCTGAGCCTGATGACCCTTACCTGGTTGTGCGAGTGCCCCCTTGGAGTTTACTCTAAGAGTTGTACCCGCCGCCTCCCCACCTATTCCAGTGAGGCCGGACCAGTTTCAGGCCGCCGGCCTGACCCTGGTCCGGTACCAGGTTCTTCCGCTACTGGACCCAGGCCGGTATATCACTTTGGCCTAGGTCCAGGGCGGCAGGTTCATTCATTCAGTTGTTCGTTCGTTCATTGAGCCGGACTGGACCTCCACTCAGCTGTTGCTTCATGTGTGTGTCCATCTCCTCTCCCTCTCTCTCTCTCTCACACCATCTCCGCACGTGCCCTCCGCACGTGCGTCACAACCTTTACCCTTCTTATCACGCTCATAGGCTCTAACTATGTCGGGAGCTGTTTCTAGAAGTTCTGTTCTAGTAAACCAGCGGTCTTCTTCCGGTTCCTGATAAGCCAACCGGATTTTATACTCTCTGTGGACGACCTCTACCTCCTGTCCTAAACACATCTTCATCTACAATGCCGTCAATGCCATATCTTCCATCCATATCCGGAGGGTTCATGGATCTTCTTGAAGGGAACTGTTGACTTGTGACACACGGCAACAACTTTGAACACAGGGTAGGTGTGTAGGTGTGCTGGAATCTCTATAGTGTAGGACGGTCCATCCTCTCCGCCCTTGACTTCTAGAACCGGCCACGGTCCTCTATACGCAGGCAGTCTGCGAGATGTTCTCCTCAGGTGCAAACTCTTTAGACTTGACCCAGACTAGGTCGCCTACCTGAAACTGCGATGGCCGACGGTGCTTATTAGCCTGTTCTATCATCCGATGCTGGGCCTTCCTGAGGTTTTCAACAACAGTTGCTAGGTCTTTCTCGTGCTGTATCGCGAACTCCCTGGTTCCGGGCGGTAGCCTGTGAATCTGATCCCGAGTAAGTCCTTCAAACGGTCTGCGGGGTCTAAAGGACTTGTGTAACTCGTTGGGAGTGTGACAGGTAGACAAATGCACGTTGTTATTGTATTCGCTGGCTACCTTGAGCAACATCTCGTCCCAATAGACTTGATCCGGTCTAATATACATGCGCAGAACTTGCTGCAGGATCTTAGTCTCTGGATGACGGCCAGATGACATTAGCAACTTTGATCCATAGACTCTCATTAGTTCCTGCCAGTTCTGACTCGTGAATCTGGTGTCTCAATCACTAACAATGGACAAAGGAACCCCGTGATCACTAATCCAATGAGAAAAAAACTTATGAATGACTAATTCCGTATGTGCCTCTGCAGACAAAGGAACAAAAACTGCATATTTACTGAATCTATCAACTATGACCATCACTTGGCTGCAGACAATCTTGGATTTGGCTATGGGGCCAAAGCCGCCGTTAAGTCCGCCATCGCCACACAGACTGTCAACTCGCTCGTTCGGCGAGCTACTGTCTTCACCCTCGCCACACAGACTGTCAACTCGCTCGTTCGGCGCGCTACTGTCTTCACCCGAATAGAACGTCCGGTAATTATAGCTGTATTAGGGGCAACTTCCAGTCCAGATACAGAGATAATTACCGGGCGTTCTATTCGGGTGAAGAAGGTAGCTCGCACTCAACCTCGAAAACGCCTGTCGCTGTCAGAGATCATGTTCCGTGGAGACAACAGAGATCTCTTCACTTGAGAGAGAGTAAGGGAATACTCACACCAGGACTTTTTCCACCCAGCTGTGGACGTGATTGTGGTCAGGTGCATCCATGTCTGGGCCTAATTAGGGTCTGCTACATTTCATAAAGCTCTAGTGTGAGTATGCTCTAATAAGCGGAGTCGACTCCAGAATCTGATGATGACGCAATTGGTTGGTGGCTCGGCGCGGGAAGAGAACTAGTTTCAATTCTGCGGAGGAGGAGCAGAATCATCAAAACGGTTTTTTTATTTTTATTTTTCCCTTCTTTTTTTTGGAATGTTACCTAATGTATCTCGCTCACATAAGCGACCGTGATTCGATCGCCGTGCTCGAGTGATCTGCGCACGTGTGTCCTCCTCCTCCCCGTGTCCTCTTGCTTCAAGAACAGAAAGTCACTCCGTGAATCCGATTGAGCGTGTCCGTGCACGTGTGTGCCAAATCGCTCTCACAGACAACCACTCATGTGCACACACACACACACACACACACACACACACACACACACACACACACACACACACACACAGAGAGAGAGAGAGAGAGAGAGAGAGAGAGA